GGTCAGACCCGTGTTTCGTAATGCGGCCAGCAGCTATGAACACATTCTAGGACAGCCATTACACTCAGTGAATTACAGTATTGGTGCAGCCTGGGTCGGGGGGGGGGGGCACGCGATGGCGAGTCGCTCTTTTCGTCTGCTCTCCAAGTCCGACGTCAGACTTCGCGACTATCCGGCGAATCGCGGATACAAACGTTGCGCCAGCAAATCGAACTTCGCGCCAGCGACTCGACTGTGTTTGAAAGTGACAGGTCTAGACACTCCACAAGGAGATCTAGGCTCTCCACTACGGGAGTCGAGACATGCCACATTCAAACACTGTCGAGTCGCTGGCGCGAAGTTTGATTCGCTGGTGCAACGTTCGATTCGCTTGCGCAACGCTCGCATCCAGCGATTCGCTAGCGTCGCTCGATTCGCAAAGTCTGACATTGCCCTAAGGCTTAGTCCGATGGCGCGTGTTTCGAAACTGCCACGTGATAGCGAGGGAGTAGCTGTCCCTGTGACTAAGCCCTGGAGAAGCAAAGGAACGAGCGCTGCGCCATCGCGTGCCCCCCCCCCCAAGCCACCACCGAACAGGAGTCTCATTCCAGTGCAACCTTTGCCGGTCAACGGACTTGAACTCTGTCCTTTAAACCGCCTCAGTTTGATGCTTCTGCCTACGTCCTCTTGCGGATCCCTGCCCTCTCCAAGGCTTGACCCCATTCACCGTTCTCTCGCCGCAGAGCACGGCAAGTCTGTGCCTTCTGGGTGTGGTTCGCTGCGACAAAAGCGACTTTTCCGCTTCACAGAGCGAATTTTTTTTTCGGTGCGGGAGCTCCGGATCCACTCTTGAGTAGTGATGGACCCCGGCTTCCTGCAGCGAAAAAGTTTAGCACGCTATGAGCAGAAAATTCGCTTTCTATCGTAGCGAACCATACCCGTGCCGCTCGGTGAGGTAGGGTAGTCCAGCCCTGTCATGTCATTCACTTATCCATACTTCGCTGAACTGCCTACATTCTCATGGCCCGCGGATTCTTTGTTTGCGCTAGAGGGCGTAGACATACCGCTCACTGCGGCGGCGACTTGCCTCCCCCTGAATGTGTTAGGATGTGGTTCACTGGGAGAAAGCGGCTTTTCCGCTCTTCGCGCGCGAAACACTTGGGCAGTGGTGAACCTGGGTCCCGCTGCGAAAAACGCTCTCCGCCCGACTGTCTTAGTGGACCGCACCCACTATGTTAGCACCGTTTGTCACTGCTTATTGATAATTCTGCTCAAGTAAATAGGCAAAGAGGGATGGGGGATCTCAAAAGAAGTCGACATTGCTGGGTGTCCCTCAGGAGGCCCATCACGCGGCGAAGGGAAAACGTAGACGCGGCAAAGGACGGGTCGCAGCGCGTGCTGTGCGATATGAGACATAGTATGCTACACTCTATTTAACCTGACGCCTATCCGCTACAGTGTGTGCTGCGACTCGTCCTTTGCCGCTCTGCGTTCTCCCTTCGCCAGGCCTCTTGGGGGACACCCGTCACGCCCTGTCCGCGCCTACCTGTGGCGTATGCTATCTTCTTGGAGACATGTCTTCCCACCCCCCCCCCTCTCGATGGTATCAATGTTTTCCCACATCTCTCCCCCTCTCCATGGATCCTTCTTTTTCGGCTGCCCCACTTTCCTCAACCATTTTGGCGCGGCCGCTGCGAACGCGGCCGAGTCGATCGTGCCCGCGAACCGTGCGCGAAAATGTGAAAACGCTTCATCTGCACTGTTCGCGGGCAGCTTGAGTACGTCGCGGACGCGCCAAATGGTCGAGGAAATTGGGGAGCCCTCTTCTTCCAAGGTCGCATAGCATCAAGGAGAGGAGGGTACACGGTTTCGTCATGAGGCCTACTATTGACATGTTGCACATACCTCTTGTGTACTGTATACTCTGGAAGGTCCAATGCCTAGTCCTAGGCGGGGTGAATTGCGGTCGAGGAAATTCGACCATGGCGCTCTGCTGTGCGAGAGTAGTGTCGAGAGTGAATGTCCGCGCGGGAGAGCGTTAAATAAGGGGCGAAAATTCTCTTGCCGTTTCCTCGAGCTATTTTCACCCTGGTTCTAGGGCTCTCACCCTCATCATTCGCATTTGGAGTCGAGCCTTTTCATCGTCTGCGTCCCCAACCGTTCCAGGACTGTAGAAGAAAGTTCAAGTAACTCTTGACCTATGCCGTGTCTGCAGGTTGACGGACTACTTGAACTCCGTCCTTTAGGGCGATGTCAGACTTTGCGACCATCCGGCGATTCGGTAGCGAATCGCTGGATGCGAGCGTTTGCGCAAGCGAATCGAACGTTGCACCAGCGAATCGAACTTCGCGCCAGCTACTGGAAGTGTTTGAATGTGGCGGGTCTAGACTCTCGTAGTGAGGATCCTAGATTCCCTAGTGGGGTGTCTAGACCCGCCACTTTCAAACACAGTCGAGTCGCTGGCGCGAACTTCGATTCGCTGGTGCAATGTTCGATTCGCTTGCGCAACGTTCGTATCCAGCGATTCTCGTATTCAGAGATTCGCTAGCGAATCGCTCGTAACCAGCGATTCGCTAGCGAATCGCCGGATGGTCGCAAAGTCTGACATCGGTATGTTGCCTCAGTCCACGCTCTCGTCTGCGCCCTCTCGCCTTTTCAGCGAGTTATGACCAGTGTGATCTCACACATTCCAACTTTTGCATCAGTGTAGTTGGCTCACCACCTAGGAGTCCTTCCCACCACAAGGCTCAGCCTCAGGGCTCTCACCTTCCTCCTCGGGACTTGGAGCCGCGCCAGGGGCCGTATGCTGAACGTTGGGTAGGGGCTGGGGTCCCCGACCCGCGATGCTGAATGTTGGTAGTCCCAGCAGAGTTTCGTCGCAGGACCCTCCGGTTATTGGCCTTTCTTTTAATTTTTTGGCTATTTATTCTTCCTTTCACTGTTTTAGATTACAGAGGGGTTCACCTACATAGTGCTATACTGATGTGATACACATACAGGAAGAGTAATAGTCACACACGGGTAGAACATAGAGCCACAAAATTAAAGGATAGGCCAGTAACCGGAGGGTCCTGCGACGAAACTCTGCTGGGTCTCCCAACATTCAGCATCGCGGGTCGTGGGCCCCAGCCCCTACCCAGCATTCAGCATACAGCCCCAGGTGCCGTTTTGTAATCGTCTGCGCTCTCCGCCATTCGTGGCAGGACCAGGAAGTTCAAGTAGTCCGTAAACCGTTACGCAAGGGTCTTCTCAGACGAAGACTGCACCTCTCTCTGTTGTGTTTCATGGGTTTGTGTCCGCAAGGGTCTTTTCAGATAAAGACTGCACCTCTCTCTGTTGTCTTTTATGGGTTTGTGTCCCCAAGGGTCTTTTCAGATAAAGACTGCTGCTCTCTCTGTTGTGTTTTATGCGCAGATTGCGCAACATCCAAGATAGGCTGCTACATGGGAACATTGCATTCTGTTATTGTGTCATGTATCCGCAGGTGGGACGATAAGTCCACATAGAGGAGGCGGTACAACGCTAGTGAATATTTTCGATGCAAGTCGCGGATCTAAAGATTTTCTGCCCACTTATCCTCATAATCAGGGGCCATATGTTCATCCACTAGGCTTGATGGGGAAGAAATTGCCTCTAACTTTTATTTAATCGCCTCGTCAACTTTTATTTGTTATTTCAGCTAAGATCCTTCAAGAAAGAGCGTGTTTGTAGTGTACAGTGTAGTATATCTAACAGTAAAAATTCGCTGGAAGTGAAAAAAAAACTTTTGTCTCATTATTTCGTATAGAGGGTGAGGTTCGTCTTTCTCACTTATCCTCATACATTAGTATGGATTTGATGTGTAAGGGTCTTGCACATTTTTTTCAGTTAGTTGGAAATATCTGAAAAGATTTCTGCTTATCATGATTTGAGTAATTGGTAGGAAAACTGGGCGAACATTTGCGTTGCCGCGTGCTGGGCGATCTAATCAGACCCGTGCGCCATACGGCACGGGCCAGATGGGGCAGGCAGCTAGTGGATGTTTTAGTTGAGATCATACTATACAGAATCATTTCTGTAGTGTGTATTTCGCAATCCCAACCAAAGGGCGATACCCGTCCACCGCGATGAAAGGGAGACGGGCGAGTTGCGAGCGGGAAGAACGCGGCAACGCGTTGAGGACCGTGGTCTGACCGCAAGGTCGGACCAGCGACTCGCTCTTCTGAGCGGTAAAAAGAATCAAAAAAAAATTAGACAAAAGACGTGGTAGTAGAAACACGGAATTGTATGCCTAAAAGCATAACGCGCGGGCTACGCTCGCCATGGAATGGGGATGGCATGAACTCCCCGCCAGTAGGCTTTCGTAAAGCAACACCCCCAGGTCGAGTTGGTGGGGTAGAAGAGGTCGATAATGAAACTGTGGATTACGAATTGATTGCAAATGAACAAAAAAAAACAAAGAAAACATGGGACCGTTCAAAATAAGGGACGAAGGTGCCGGACGAGTTGTTTGAACTAGTTGACATTTCTTGCCAGCTAGCGTAGCAAGAAATGCAACTGCATTCGCCCATGCACTAATACAAGTAAATATACAGGCACCA